GTGTGTGTGTGTGTGTGTGTGTGTGTGCAGGGACCCTGGTGGTGCCCTGAAGTGGGAAGACACTAGGGGCTCACCTCATAATCCAGGTCCTTGTGGTTGAGAGCAACGTTGAGAGTGAAGGTGGATGAATCATGATGTGGCCGCAGAGAAGGCTGTTCATCCGGCCGGTAGCGGACCACAAAGTTCATCACTGCCCGGGTCTGTGGGGACATGAGAAAAGAGGCGGAGGGATGACCCTCAGGTCCTGGGGCTCTTCTGAGGAAGTGATAGCTGCTGTCCAAGGAGTGGGAGTAGCTGCAGGGGTCTGGGACTGGGGCGTGGGGAGGTTGAGGGAGCAAGGGTGGCAGGAGCAGCGCCCACCTTGGTGTGGTAGCCTGGGAACAGGCTCTCAGTCATGGGCCCCACGTACGTCCTCAGCAGCTGCAGCCACTGGTCCTCATAGCCCACCTGCTTCATGTGGATGTCTACGGTGGGCACATTCTCGTAGCCTCCAGCTAGTCTTGAGTCCTGTGGACAGTGGGCACTGAGCCCTTGACAAAGCAGTGCCAGCCTCCCCTCTCCTCTTGCTCCCAGGTCTTAAAGCCTCTGTTACCTCGTCTGGAACAGCCTCAACCGCTTCTTAGCTTAACCCACTCTTATTGTCTAAGTCTCAGCTAAGATGGCACCTCTTCTGTGAGGTCCCTTGGTCCCCCAAGTCTGGGCCAAGGGCCCCTACTGTGGCTCCCACAGCACCTGGCATGCTACTGCTACTGACAGCACAGGTGAGAGGGCAGTGTTTGGCCTGCACAACTCAACAGTGCACTTCAGGGGCTGGCATCGAGGACCTGCCCAGTAAGGATTTCTTCATAAATGAATAAACAAATACAGCTGTGACCCTTGTGGGCCCATCCCCGTGGGGACCGCTCTCTGTTCCCACTCTCCTGATACTATTTTCCCTCCATCGGACCCAACAGCTCCCTTCTCCTGGAAGGGGTCCTCCCTTCTCCCCTTCCCCAGCCCCTCTCACCTCATGCCGGCCTCCTGACCACTGACCATAGTGCTCCATTTCCTCCACCAGCTCATCACACATCTGGTCTGAGAGCAGGGGGAACCAGTACACATCTGGGCATGGCTAAGGACAGGGCAGGGGAAGAATAACTTGTTCAGTCACAGGGCTGGGTGACACGGGAGGAGGGGGACACAGTGGGGAAGCAGCCAACGAAGGAGAGAAAAAGCAGGAGGAGAAAGGGAAGCCAGGAGATGAGAGAAGCTAGGAGGATGGGGGTCTGAGTGAGGGGATGGGCCACAGCAAGGGCTCGGCCAGGAGAGGCTCGGCCAGAGGCAATGGGAGCAGCATGGAGAACACAGCACAAGTGGCAGGAGCGTCCTGGAGGCGCAGATTCTGAGACAGTGCTTTCCAAACTTCTCCACAAAAGTGTCATTTTGTAGACAAGAGGCTGAGTGATGCTGGGGTGGGGAGCTGAAAGCCTATCTGATCAGCCTTTGCCTTCATCGTGCCCGAGGAGAAAAGCCTAAGGCACCTGAGGAAAGTCAGTTTGGAAACCACTAATCCAGACGGTGGACCCAAGGGATGACAGCCATCAGGCAGTAAGGGGTCCTGAGTGAGGCTCACCTGTTCCACGAGTCCCTCCCCTTCCAGAGCCCGGCTGTAGTTCTCGTGAATATACTGCTCCTTCCAGTCCTGGGGAGGAGGTAGGGGGACACCTTGATGTGTGTCCTCTTTACTTCCTCTGGTCCCACCCAGGAAACCCCAGCACCTGGACAGCCCCTCCCTGGGCAGTCGCAGGTCCTGCAAGGGTGTCATGCCCATGTGCATCCTCCTATAGTGAAGGGCATTCACACTCTTTGAGCCAGGGGCTCCCTACTCACCAGGGGGTTGTCAAAGATCTGCCAGAGGTCGGGGTGTAGGTGGTCTGTGTCATACCGGGAAGTGGCCAGGAGGCGGCCAAATTCATGTTGATTGCTGAGATGGAGGAAGATGCCCTGGAGTGGGGAGAGGGTGTGAGAAGGAGACACGAGGTGGCTGCCTCCCGGCACCCCAGCACTGGGTCCTGCTGCCATGCTCACCTTGTCCCTCAGGCTCTTACAGAAGGCCATGTCTGGGTCGGTATCACTGCCGGAGAACACCTCCCTCTGAGGCAGCTCTGTCCTTAAGGTCTCCCCCCGGATCACATATGCCTGGGAAATGTAGGGCACATTCCACACGCCCCTGGAGGTACCGACACTAGGGTCAGCTAGGTGGGTAGCCCCCCAAATTCTGCCCAGTTCAGCCCAGTTCCTACGCTCTGTTCACTCACCACCTTTCCTATCCCATCCCTCAGGTGCCCTCTTCCGTCAGGGCACCCACTCTCTGAGCTGAGAGGCCACCTCACTTCCTCTGTCAAGCACTGCTGGTCACAACCCACCAGTGTCCCCCTCCACAGTCAGTTTCTACCCACAGCTGCACCAGAAGATCCCTGAGACGGAGGCTTTGGGAGAGGATGGGGGCATCTGTTCAGGCCCAGGTGGGAGGAGGAGAGGGGCTGCAGCCCTGGCAGGACTCACACTCGCTTCCGCTGCACCAACTCCACGTAGTCCTCGGAGCGCGCGTAGTACTCGTCAGGACTCAGGGCTCCCCAGAAGTTTGACCACAGCTTCCCATGGCGGGACAGCATGGGTGCTATGACCTTCCTATGAACAGGTGGATGTGAGGACTGGGCAAAGGCGAGCCCCATGCCCAGGGAAGGAGCTGGGGTCCCCGGGGGACTACTTGGGGACCCTCTGGCTGAGCCAGGCAAGCAACCTGTTTTCTTCAATGAGGATGCGCAGAACCTGCTGGTTGGTGATGACGGCATCAGCGTCCAGACTGAAGTAGAATTCACACTCGGGGTCCTGCCGACACTTGTCCCTGCGACCAACAGACAGAGGAGCTGAAACTGAAGCAGCTGCAGAGGGGGTGAAACTCCCCCTCACTCTGGGACCTCCAGGTTGTCCAGTCTGTGAGAGAGGGGCAAGGGAGGGACAGTACATATGGAGGCCAGGAAGGCAGCACTATGGAGGCCATGGAGAAGCTGGATGGTGGATGGAGAAGGAAGGGTGGTACAGTGGTGGCAGCCTCATCACCTCCCACCTCCTTTCCACCACTGATCCTCCCTGCCCAGGTCTCACTCACATGGCCATGTCCCTGGCCTCGCCTGGGGTCAGGGCCTCCTCCGGCCCCACCAGCTTCACAGCTGAGAAGTGGTCCTGGAGCTGGGGCCAGGAGTCGGCAATGTGGGGCTCATGGTACACCTCCTGGAGATGGGAGAAAATGGGGGAGGGTGCTGAGAGGGCAGAGAAGATGGCACCTGGGAGGCAAGGATGCGGTGGAGGGGGTCAATGGAGAGAAAAAAGGGGGACATTTGTAACACTTTCAACAATAAAGATAGAGTAACAAAAATAGAGAAGATGGCACCTGAGGGATGGGATAGGAAAGGTGGTGAGTGAACAGAGCGTAGGAAGCAATCAGGGGGCAGTGGGGAGTTCTGATCGGGGCAGGTCCCTTGGAAGGGCCACACGGAGAGACTGTCAGGATGTCTCACGTTGTTATGCAAGAAGAGGGTGATCCTGTCGGGGGGATAGTCCAGGAGCATCAGCCTCTGCAGGAAGCGGGGCAGGAACGGGGTCGGTTGTTCCACAAACACGGCCAGAAGCACCCGGGGGAGAGGCTGGAAGATACATGACAGGGCTCATGGAAAGCCTGGTACTCCCACTTGGTCTGTCCTCTACCACCTGGCCAGGTTTGGGGGTTCCCAGGAGCTCTGCCACCCCTGCTTCAGTGTGCTCTCCTGCCCGACCCCTCCTCACCTGCCCCGCTGGGAGTGTCCTCCGGTCCTGGTCACAGAATCCACAGCCTCCCCCAGGAGTCCAGCCATTGGGGACATAGTTTCCCAGGTAATTCAGCTGGAGCTGTGGGAAGAGACAGGGAGAGAGGCTAGGCAGAGGAGCCCATCACCAGAGATGAGAAAAGTCGGGCAGACAGACAGGAACAAGGAAGGGAGCAGTGGGCATTGGGAACCTCTCCTCATATCTCTTCTGCTGGGGCTGGGAAGGACCAACTGCTCAGAAGGGCGGGAGGTTCTCAGGGGCTGGGATTAGGTCTGAGGCAGGGACAGAGGTTGTGGGGCCAAGATTGAATGGGGCAGAGGCTGGGGCTGAGGGTATGAGCCATTGGGGTACCTTAGTGGGACCGTTCCCATGCACCACAACAGGAAGCGTGTCGTAGGCCACATTCCGTATACGCACACGATTTTGATCAAATTTTAAAACCACCTCATCTGGGGAAGAAATGCCAGGATTTAGAGTTGCTTTCTCTTGAAACTGCCCTGCAGCAGGTGCTTCTAAATATGGGGGAATCCAGCTACTCTGATGCCACCCTGGGGATGTCCTTCAGTGTGACCTGGACAAGTCACTGGCCCCTCAGAGAGGCAGTTTCCTCATCTGTAGCATGTAGATAACCACAGACCCCAGTCCTCCTTTGTAGCATTGTTGTGTTAATGAAATTACAGAAGTAAAGCCCCTGACCCAGGGCGTTGGCACATAGTGTGTTTCATAGATGTTAGGTATGACAGCCACAGCTTTTACCACTGTTAGCACCATGCAACGTTATCTATCAGCCATTCAGACATCTGATGAAGTTAACATAAACATGAGTTGAAGACAACCCCAATTCCAGCAGGATCCCCTTCCTAATCCAGGACCCCCAGCAGCCTCTCTCATCTCCCCTTCTGATTTGCCTTTCACCTCACCTAAAGCCCCATTGAGGTTCTGAAAGATCCGGGATTTATGATCCAGATTAAGGCTGAATTTCTCCTGGGATGGGATAAGATAGAGCAGTTAATTCAAGAAGGGGTGGGACATCATCTCTCACTCTTTTCTCTTTACGTCTTTCCCAAAGCCTCTTTACCCCTTCTCTCGCCTTCAGCTAAGGCCTGCCATCCCCATAGAGCTGCACGTGGCCACCTCTTCTCTGTCCGTCCCTACCCTCAGTCCTGGGTCCAGATAGAGTCGAGTGTAGAACAGCTGATCATCATCGTCGTCCTTGTACTTCCACTGGCGGACAATCTGGTGGACGGTGGGGGCAAAGCCAATGAATCCTGTGGGGAAGGGGGTGGAGAGGAGCTGACTCCAAGACTCCCTGGGTCCCATGAACCTGTCTCCACGCCCTCTCTGGGCTCCAGGTACCTGGAACACTCCAGACCCCATCACTCCAGGTCCCTCTGCCTCAGGCACTCTGCCACTCACCACCAGAGTTGAGGAAGCGCTTCCCCGTGCCCACCTCAGGGTACTGCTCTGCCAGCCCCCACTCAGGCCAGCAGAAGCTCTCTGCAGAGAACAGCAGGCGGCTGCCACTCTGGACAAACTTCTTCAGCAGTTCTGAGGGGCTGCCAGCCAGAATCACATCATAGCTGGCAAGGAAGGGGAAGATGAACAGGACAGCCACGGGGAACCTTAGTATCCTCACCCTCTTCCTCTTGTTTGCCGCCCAGCCCCTTTCTCCCTACCCCAGCCCCTTTACCTGTCCACAAACATGATGACCATATCCTCCCGGTCGGCATATTTCTCCATTTCCTTCTTTAGCCACCTGACCTTCTGTCCTCCACCGACTGTTCTGGCCACATCACCCCCTCGCCACTTCTCTCCCAGGCCCAGTGTCTGTGGGGGAGATCCGCCGCGCCAGGCAGGCATTCAGCGGGCCAGGCTCACCGGGGGACCCCAGGCATCCAGCCCTCAGCGCACTCCTCCAGCTGGAATCCTCCCCCCCACACCCCCACTCCCAGCGCCAGGAGGCACGCCTCTCCTCACCCGCACTGTATAGTTGAAGAACTCGGCTGATCGCAGGAAACGCCGGTACCCCTCCGTCTGGGCTGTGGCCACGGTGATCACCAGCAACTTCTCTGTGACCAGCAGGGAATGAGGACACTCCCCCAGCTCACTGCCCCACATGCACTCATCTCAGGCTTTCTTCCCTTCCTTCAAACTCTGCGCACGCCCCGTATTTTTTGTTTCCCCATCCCTCTTAGATCCTCCCCCAAGGAAACTTCGACCCCAGGAAGAGCAGTGACACCCGGAATGCGGGGTCAGCCCGCACGGGGAGGCCGGATCCGTAGTCCAGGGTGGGAGTGAGCGGTTCCGTCCCCAAGAGCACTGGCGAGGGAGAGCCCCCACCCCGACCCTGCCCCCCGGCCCCGGCGCACCGACACTGCAGCCCCGGGCTCGCCCGGCTCTCCCTGCGGGTTCACCTGGGTTGACAGGGTTTCCGCCCCGGGGACG